CTCTCTCTCTCTCTCTCTCTCTCTCTCTCTCTCTCTCTCTCTCTCCCTCCCTCCTTCTTTCTCTCTTTCTCTCTTTCTCTCCTTCTCTCTCTCATTCTCTCTCTCTCTGCATGGATTTCTTTGGAAAAATAAATGTTCAAATAAAAATATATTGAGTCTTTTTTGTAAACCATCATACACTTCTCTCTCACCTGACCTTCTATTCAGCATAATCCCATCAGGCCCCAGCTGTGTCCTTGAAACCCACCTCTCTGCCTGTGTTTTGGGTGAGTATCAATCCTGGCCCCAAGCCCCAGTCAAGGCTGCTCCCTTCCAACACACACCCAATCCACAGTCTCCATTTAGAAGCCTTAGTTGGAGTTTCTTGCCTGTGAGGCCAAAGGTACCTCAAAAGAATTCACAATCTGGTCTACCTTACAAATTTCCCTTGTCCAAGTAAAAAATCCTCTGTGCGGGCCATGTCCAAGTTGCACAATTAATATTCCCTTCCCCCAACTAAAGAGAGGGCCCTAAAATGCACTTCTGTCCAGGTGCTGCCACATGGCAGGGCTGGCACCTGCCCTGTGTCAGTTTGCAAACGTGGTCATCAGCAAACTCTTTAAGAAGTAACTCTCACCCTTGGCCTCAGGTAGTCTTCTTCAGTATTCACTTATTCAACAACTAAGTTTTATGTACCTACTGGGTCCCAGGTGCTGTACTAGATGTGAAGACAGTGGCAAACCAAAAGGTTTGATCCCCGCTGTCATAGATCTGAAGGTCTGGTACCAATTGTAATTCCAGCACCAGCTTTCCATGAATCATAGGCGCAGTAATATTACTAAAATCTGGTTTTTGCAATTCCACATTGCAAATGATTATGGCACTCATGTTGACACTCAGACATTCTGCTGCCAGGGAATTATTATTTATCATATTTATAATGCTCAGTACATTGCCTTTTCACAGGATCATATCAGTAGAAGGAATCCTTGATTCCTTGTAAAAGAGGACAACTCCCACTTCATTAGTATAAGAGAATGAGACGCAGGGAAATGATATGAGCAAATGTCAAGAAAGGGCCAGGAAGTCCCTTTTAGTTCTAAGAGGCGGTACCAGTAAGGATCTCGGGTTTTGGCCCAGTGGAAGGGGGTCACCTTGTGGAAAACAAAAGGTGTAATTTCTCACAATTTATCATCTCCCCCCACTTACTGTTATCAAGACACTTCTGTTACTCTCCTGCAGAGAGTAGGTTTCCAATATCCAGTGTTGTCCTTTGAAAAGTGTCCATGAACACAAATTGGAAGTGTTTGGTTCAGCTTTTCCTACAGTTGGTTTTGTTGAAGTTGAGGCCACACTTAGCTGCATTTGTTAATGTGACTTCTGTGATTTGTATTAGTTGATAATATCAAAAAGGAAAGAAGCCGGTTGTCATTGTCTTTAAACCATAATTATTTCTGTATTTGAATGAGGTTGGTAAGAGCCTTTGGTCTTTGGTTTATAAAACCCAAACACTGGAAAGCTTTCCTGCTTGGACTCGAGCCTGTGATTCTAACAAGATCAAACCAGAAGAACTGCCCCTGTCCTTCCACAAACAAGTTTTTATTTAATCTGGCAAAAAATAATTTGCAGCTTTATGACCATGTTTTGCTCCAGCAAGCAAGCAAGAACAGTTTTAAAGTCCCTTCCTCCATCCTGGGAGGTGAAGGGCATTGTCTGTTTTAGCACACACTTGTCATCCATTTTTCCTCTCATTTTCCCTAATATGAAGTGGAGAATTAGTACAAGATTTTTGTCTCTGTTGCTCAAGTTTTGTGGTACCATTGGCCCAAAAAGGAAGTAAATATTGGTCCCTCTGCCCAACCCCGGTGTCATGACTGTGCTGTTCTTCCAACACCTTTCTGGACTCTGTGAGTCCTGAGGTCAAGTTTGACATGCTTCAGGCCCTAATACCTGAGCAGGTGTCTAAGTTTGACATGCTTCAGTCCCTAATACCTGAGCAGGTGTCTTAGTTACTTTTCCCATTACTAAGACAAAATACCCAACACCCAGAGTTAAAGGAGAAAAGGTTTATTTAGCTCACAGTTTGTAGAGGTTTCAGTTCATAGTTGGCTGGCTCCAAGGCAGGGTGGCGTGGCAGAGGGGCATCGTAGAGGAGGAACAATCCATGGTGGGCTTCTGCAGCAGAGTAGTAAAGAAGCAGCAGCAGCCTGCCTCTCCCTTTATTCCTTCCTGGCTACTCACCCTTTGGGTGGTGGCAGCCACACCCAGGTGAGCCTTCCCATTATCCACACCCAGAACTATGCCAAACCAATCAGTAGACTAATTTAGTAGTCACACACCCTGAATCCCAATATCACCCATTTTGTCTCAGCATTCTACGCCATAGATCCAGCCACTTCTGAAAAGCTCCACCTATGACCTAACGTGCTTTTGGGGGGACATCTAGACATAACCATAACAGCAGGGCAGCCAGTGTCTGTTTTGTTTCTTTTTCTGATGCTGGGGTGAGACTGGGGAACTCACCCATGCTAGGTAAGTACTCTACCACATACCTACACCCCCCTGCCTGGCAGCCACTGCTTCTGCAATCTTTATGTGATGCCAGCGAAAATCCATCCAGGCTGAGTGATGAGTCGAGAGACAACTACCTGCAATGACCACGGCCTGAAGACAACAGTCTTCAGTTTCATCAATGGGATTAAAGCAGATAAACACAGGGGCTGGGGATTTAGCTCAGTGGCACAGCACCTGCCTGGCAAGAGTGAGGTCCTCAGTTTAATTCCTGGTCCCCTCCCCCCTCCCAGAGTGGATAACCACAGACATTTACAAAACATGGAAAATCTACCATCCCATATTGGTGTTTACTATTTTGTCAATAGCCTATCTCTGTTAGCTTTTTGTTGCTGTCTTTCCTATTCTCATAAACTTTTTTATTGCTCTAGTTCAGAATCCAGTTTCACAGCTAGCTAGTGGCTTTTCATCTTTGAAGTGTTTATTCTACCCTTTGATCTAAGCTTTGTACACTGGAATTACGTTAAGATGACTATTTTGTTGTTAGAAGCTGGCAGCTGGGAAGTTACTCCATGTTCTTGGAAGTTCCCAGGCCTCTTTCTCATTGGATGCTCATGTACATTCCCCGTGGCTCAACTCTGGTACTTGAATAACAGATTCTGAATCTCCAGGCTGAAAGGGATGCTATAGCTTATCCCACAGTCTTTGCTTCATCACCTTGTAGGAAGGGCTCTTACTGGGTCACAAAGTAGCTGGCTTGGTTACTAGACACCTCTAGCTTTTAGCAGATTTCTTCTATTCAAGGAGGGAACATTATTACAAAAGAAATATGTGCAAGTAATAAAAATTCTAACATTATTATATACATTTTTAAAATGACATTTTCCCAATAATTCTACACCCCATTGCTATTGAATGCTGAATATCCCCAAAGATGTGTGTGTTAAAAGCTCAGTCTCCAGGATAGAGCTCTTAGGAGGTTGTGGAATCTTCTGAGAGGGAAAGCCTAGTGGGAGGTCTTTAGGTCACTGGGCACTTGCCCTTGAAGGGACTTGTGGGATGTCAGCCAGCTCCTTTTTTCTCATCCCAGTCTTAAAGTGAAGAGTTTCACTCTGCCATGGGCTCCCACTATAATGGGTTGCCCACTATGATGGCCTAAAATAGTGGGGCCAATTGATCATGAATTGAAACTTCCTAAACTGTGATCCAGACTAAGCCTCTTCCTTTTATAAGCTATCTGTCTCAGGTGTTTTGCCACAATGATGGAAAGCTGACTAACACCCCCATAGATAGCCACTATGAAAATTTTTACAACTCTAGGGATCAAACCTAGGGCTTTGCACATGCTAGGCAAGCATTCCAGCAATTCCCAGCTCCTACTGTTAAATATATTATTTACATACTTACAATCACTTTTCCTCTCTCCATAAGTATATTCACACATGAGATTATGCTAAACATATATTTCTATGATATGAACCAACCTTTATTAGGTTGAACCAAAATCTGCCTATCATTTCCAACTATTGGTCTGTTTGTTCTATGAAGAGCAACATGAGATTAAGATGACCCCACTCTTCACACAATAAATTTTAATCACTGTGTATCTTCTGGGCATTTTACATTTTTAGCACATCTTCCCATATTGTAAGTTCTTTCAGCTCTGCCCCATGCTCCAGAGAGTCAGGGGTCCTCTTTGTTGCGAGGAGGCTCGCAGCTGAGCCTGTGGTGCAGGCAGAGCCTGAGCAGAGTGGACATTGGGTCATTAGGTTCCCACAGAGGATCTGGACCTCCAGCAGAACAATATAAGAATGTACATACTTGCAGAGCTGCCACAATACACTCCTAATGCATGACGAGGTTGGGGTCAGATGCTTTCACAAGAACATCTGCCAAGCCAGGTATCTTCTATCCCACACTTGTGCAATTGATTTCTACAAACTAAATTCCAAGGACTTTTGACGTTGTCTACATGTTGTGCCAGACACTATATACTGTGTGTGTGTGTGTGTGTGTGTGTGTGTGTGTGTGTGCATGCGCACACACGCACACACTGGGCCATAAATTTTTTTCTTGCCCAGGTGCCCAGGCTAAGGCATATTTGGAAGTCCTCTCTTAGAATTGCTGTTGAACCAGTGTATGTGCCATACAAGAAAATCAGCCTCATTTCTTTATAGTCACACCTTGTTTGGAACCAAAGTAATATTCTTCAGCTTGATCACCCACCTCATTCACTAATTTTGCTGCCAAGCAGCTTTTAGCTGTTTCCCAAAATTAAATCTGCTGTCAAAAAACAAAGCCTCTTTCTCAAAGGTTCCAAAGAATGTGCTGTGGATGATGGAATTTTTTTTTCTCAAAAGAAAAGTTCCTGTAAGTTTGAGGATACTTTCCTTGACATGATGATTCCCTC